TGTGTTTTTCAGGATCTCAAGACGGGGATGAAGATTGGTGGAGGGCATGAAGCTGGTGGATTGTATTATCTTGACGGCGGTGGAAGAACATCAACAGCTCTCCAGTCATCTCTCTCTCCTCTCCAGTGGCACTGTCGATTTGGTCATCCTTCGCTGAAAGTTTTGAAATATTTGGCCCCTTCGTTGAGTCAACTTTCTGCTTTAGATTGTGAGTCGTGTCAGTTTGGGAAACACCATCGTGTTCCCTTTAGTTCTAGGGTTGATAACCGTGTGTCGAGTCCTTTTTCTTTGATTCACTCGGTATAAAATAATGCCATACAATGGATATAGATATTTTGTCATTTTTGTTGATGATTTTTCAAAGATGACGTGGCTCTATTTAATGAAAGAAAGAAGTGAATTGTTTACCATCTTCCAGAAATTTTATGCTGAGATTTGCAATCAATTTGGTGTTCACATTAAAATTTTTCGTTCTGATAATGGCTGTGAATATCTATCTTCTTCATTTCAAGAATACTTGGACCAAAATGGCATTATACATCAGACCTCATGTACCTGCACCCCACAACAAAATGGGGTGGCTGAGAGAAAGAATCGTCATCTCTTGGAAACAACACGATCCCTCATGCATCACATGAATGTTCCCAAACCCTTTTGGAGTGATGCGGTGCTTACTTCTTGCTTCTTGATTAATCGGATGCCCACGTCTATCCTTGATGGTCATTCCCCATTTACTACCTTGTTTCCCACCTTGTCTCCGTTTCCTCTTTCTCCTCGGGTATTTGGGTGTGTCTGTTTCGTCATAATCTGGGCCCCGGGAACGACAGGTCAGATGCATGATCCCTTAAGTGCATCATGCCGATTTTGTTCCCCTTGTTCCAGTCATGACCAAGTCCTTGCCTCCAGTGCCACCACCTATTGAACGCCCACCTATCCGTCAAGTGTATACACATCGACCACATGTATCGGCTGCTACTCCTCCAGCTCCATCACTGTCGACAGATCCGGCAGTTGTCTCCACACCAGCCCCGAACCCAGTATCTGATCTTGGTCTTCCCATTGCCTTGCGGAAAGGTAAACGCACTTGCACCCTTCATCCTATTTCTAATCATGTTTCACTCWCTCACCTTTCCGCCTCCCATCGCCAGTTTATCTCTTTGTTATCCTCAGTTGTTGTTCCTAAGGATGTCCAGGAAGCCCTTGCCTCTCCAGGGTGGTGTCGTGCAATGGAAGAAGAGCTCTCAGCTCTACTTCATAATCATACTTGGGACCTCACCGCTCTTCCTCCTGGGAAGCAAGTTGGCGGTTGTAAGTGGGTTTATACTGTTAAGTATTTGCCTGATGGTAGTGTTGA